TGAAGGTTTGTTGATCCATTATATGTTTATAGAGAAAATTTTTAAAAAAATCAGGTATTGAGAGGAAAGCAATAAAAAGTATATATTATATGATTTGTATTTATCAATTTTTAATATTATAGATCTTTAATTATTGTATCAAAGGTGATAGATTTTTAATTATTATATCAGAGGTAAATTTTAATTATTATATATATCAAAGGAAGCAGATGTTTAATTGTTATATTGATTTTAATTATTTTGTCGAAGATGTAAAAGGATAGCTATCCTTTTTATATTAGTTGAAAATTAATAAACAAGATGAGTAGGCGCCATGATTGTTTTTACAACTTGCCTTTTTTCCAAATTCAATTCGCCTCTTCTCAAACAACTTGTTTTTTTTTTTTTTCAAATTGATTATCATTTTAAAGCAACACACCATTACTATTATACAAACAATTTAAAAGGATTTGTTTTTTTCGAATTGAGACATGTGGAAATAACACAATTAATAATAACTACTGCTTGCATTCAATTCGCCTCTTCTCCAAACAACTTATTTTGTTTTGTTTTTTTTTCAAATTGATTATCATTTTTAAAAAGCAACATGCCATTATTATTATTACTATCATACAAACAATTTAAAAGGATTTATTTTTTCGAGTTGAGACAAATGGAAGCAACACAATTAAAAATAACTATTGCTATTACTATGTTGCATTCAATTCGCCTCTTCTCCAAACAACTTATTTTGTTTTTTTTTTTTTTCAAATTGATTATCGTTTTAAAGCAACACACCATTATTATTATACAAACAATTTAAAATGATTTTTTTTCGAATTGAGACATGTGGAAATAACACAATTAATAATAACTACTGCTTGCATTCAATTCGCCTCTTCTCCAAACAACTTATTTTGTTGGTTTTTTTTTCAAATTGATTATCATTTTAATGCGCAATACAAAACAAACTACTTATTAAAGATGAGCAGCAATATTACTATTATACAATTTAAAATGATTTATTTTTCGAATTGAGAAATGTGGAAGCAACACAATCAAAATAACTACTTCTATTACTATGTTGCATTCAATTTGATTCTTCTCCAAACAACTTATTTTGTTTTTTTTCCATTTTAAGCAACATATCATTACTATTATTATTTATATATACAACCTAAAATGATTATTTTTGATTGAAAATGATTTATTTTTTTCAAGCTCATTTAGGAAGCATAATTAAAAATAACACAATTGTTCATTCTATCTAAATTTGTTATTATATATTAATATAGAAATATGTCGTATGGTGCGAATCATCACGTGCTGCGCCACTTGCCGAAAATTTTTATGCTGATCTTGCTTTATAAAGAATCCAATATATAAAAATAAATCCAAATTCGTAAAAGATCTGTGACTTTGTCACGTGAATAATTGGTAAAATAATCTGTAAATTGCAGTTTAGATATGGGGGCTGTTCTAGGAAAAAGTGGGTTTCGACCCTCAGATTCAAAAATGAGATATTTATACCAAATTAATCT